CTCGAGAGTTCTTTTTGTAACAGGGACCTTCGATGGTATCTCGCGTTCCTTCACATGAAGACCTAAATCCACGGAGCAGACGAGAAACTTTAACCAGCCGAATGACAAAAAGGATAGTCCCAGCATTAAGAGTCAAACTGTAATAGCCAATTTAGGGATATTTTGCTTCATTAAAGCGTTGACAAGCTTCGCACGAGGTGCCAAGGTCACAGGAAGCAAACGACCAGTTAGAACTTGAACTATTGACGAACCTGCTTGAACTCGCCATTCGCAAGCGATTTTAACCTTCTACTTTCATAGATTAGTTCTGACCAGGAGACATTTTGATGACTTTCCTTTGCGATGTGATTAATTTCATTGGTTTTGAAAGAGGTGCCATTTCCCTATCAGGAGGTTCTTGAGGCTAGATAAAGCCGGGTGACAGAACGTTACAAAAGACTGTTTTATTCTGTGTGCTACTTTCTTTGTTTTTAAGTGACCCTCCTCTACCGGAGCAGATAACCTAGTCATATATTCCTCCGGAACTTCGACGGGTATCCTCTATTCCTTTGTTAAGCGTATTTTAAAATTGTACGTGTTTAGTAATCGTGGAGCGCGTGGGATTTTTTCTTAGGATGCAGCACGCTAATATTTTTGCAATTCCTTTCTTTACGCTTGGTAAAAAAGGGTTGACGGACCAGCACGACTCTTGCCAGGCTACGAATGTAATATGAACGACTTTCTCCGCACTTGCCCGTATGTAAACAAAAACAAAGGCGTGGTTGACTAAGATCCTTTGAGACGGTGGCTAACAACAAACCAAACGAAGTGACTACTTTGGGATTTTTCAAGCTCGTTCGGTAGCGACTGAACTGTTTCATTCCTAAGGAGACTTTTTATCCCAAGCTGGGAAAGCTCGTCAGTGAGTAGGAGTGTGCACTTACGTTCTCCTTAAAGAGCCCGGAATAAAGACCTCGTCACTATCCTTCGTTTTTTTTAGTACTTTCGTCCATTCGATTTTGAGCTGAAACAGAGCAAGGAACGTAAGGGGTTACATAATAGACTTTATTACATCGCACGCAGCGACCGTGGGCAAGAAGGAGCGAATCCTGTGTTGTGATTGGCTAGCCGAGCGGGTAAGATGGGCCAGGATTGCCAGCATTGATCCCGCGTATGAAAAAAAAATAATCATCATTTGAAAAATACTCTATAGCTAAGCAATATCTTTAATGAGAAATAACCTTTATTGAATCTAACATGAAAGTGTATAAAAAATAAAACAAATCTTGCAAGTTACAATTCTCCTTTTAAGGAAATATATCACTAACCTAAACTACGCAATTATATGGCTAATAAAAATATAATGTGCTGAAGTCTCTTGACAAAGGAAAAGCAAAGTCTTGAAAAGTTCAACGCAAGAGAATGATGAAAAAATTTACTATAAAATTGTCTATAATTTACCATAATAATAATAATAATAATAATAATAATAATAATAATAGTTTGAATATATCAACAAAGTTGAAATGGAAAATTGGCCACCGTTACGGTTATAAAAGCTGACGTTCCGAGCGTTAGCCCTTCGTCGGAGCGAATAGGGGAGTTGAGGGTTGTGTGTGCTTTCAAAGGCAGAAAGTGGAGCTACGTGATTGGTGGGAACATGGCAACGAGAAAAACACGAATAAATTAGTGGAATGAAAAGCGTTCGTTGGTAGCGTTCCTTCATTCCACCAATTTATTCGTGTTTTTCTTACAATTATGACATTTTTGGACTCCAGATACCCCTACTTATGCACACCTATATGTACATTTCATTATATCAGTTGGTTTAGGCGAGCTCATATTAAAATTCCTTCAAACGAGCAATATCTTTTAAATTGTGCATCTTTACCTTTATCAAGTTCACCCAAAA